CATATCTCATCAAGTCTTCTCTCATTGATGTTCAATGCATCAAATCTGTTCTTGAGATGTTTGAGCATGTTTGCATGCTTAGCATATCTTAAACTGAAAGGAAAAATAGAAAAATTTCAAGTCTCAAATTGCAATACTGAAAGATTCTACAGGCAAAATATTGAATGATGCAGAAAGCATCAAAAGAAAATGGAAAGAATAAACAGAGTCACTGTATTTAAAAAAAACCAACTGGTCGACATTCATCCATTTTAGGAGTAACGTGTGATCAAGAACCAATGTGACCGAAGGAAGAACTTCAAGCTGCACTGAAAGCCTTAACCCGAAACAAGGCCCCACGAATTGATGGGCTACCAACTGAAATGTTCAACAAGCTCATGAGCCAGCCACTCATCTAAGCCAGGAAATTTGGAAGATGGCTAGATGGCCAAGTGAAAAGATTCATGTTTGTCCAAAGAAAGGTGACCCAACAGAGTGCTCAAATTATAGAACAATACCATTGATATCACACGCAAGTAGCATTTTTCAGAAGATCATCCAACAACAGTTGCAGTATTACGTTGACAGGGAGCAGCCCGAGGCTCAGGAGAGGACTTGGAACAAGGGGTATCATTACTGATGTCAGATGACACTTGGCTGAAAGCTGAGAATACCAGAACGATGCTCAGTTGTGTCTTATTGGCTACACAACAAAGGTGTCTGCCATCTTCCTCATGACAGCAGGACTCCCCTGGCGAGGAGCTGGGTTCTCGGCCTTTCTCCCTTTTGTGGTCAAAGAAGGAGAGAGGTGGCCCCCATGCTGTAACAGTCCTGCGTTGCTTCCTGCCCCTCCTTGCTTTTGCAGCCACGGGTCAGAAAGAGGTAGAAGCCTCTGCCCATCGGTGCCCAAGTGTCTCCGTGCATGGAGCGCCTTGGGTTGAGCACCATGACTTGCAACTACTCTGTTTCACCTTTCCCCTCTACCCTCACCCCCTAACTAGCTGTTGGAAGAAATCTCAGTGAAATCCTAGGGGTGGGTTGGGATGGGGCTTTGAGGAATATGAATTACGCCTTATAAGTAAGACAAACATTCTTTCTTAATCCTGTGGCTGGTGTGGGGCAGGTATCAGAAGGAGAAATTAGAGGGGGTTAAAAGGAGAGGTTCAAATTCAGTTCTGGAGAAAAACACTTTGTTCACATGTGCCTAGGTGAAGCTGGAGCCAGACATCTGATAAAGGAAGCTGTCCATCTACATGTGAGAGATGTGAACTGCTTCGGATGCTGCAGCGCAAGCTGACCATTGTTGTAAGATGTTCCTTAAAAACCAAACCAAACCAACACGTTGTTCTCTGGAACTAGATTTTATGGGGGAAGAGGGGAGTATGGGGGAAGGGACCATGACCACAGGAAGCCCAATAGAGCCCAAGGGGCTTTTTACAGTATATGAAATAAAAGTCAAACAAAATAAACACACAAAACAACAACAGTGGGAGCAGGAACAAAGTGCAAGAAGGCACTTGTTGTCAACCTCCTGGAGGCTAAGAACATCCCGATGATTGAAGTTGTATTGCTAGTGTTTGGTGATTGAAAATATGAGGATCCATTCGAGAGACAGATGAGGCTGTCTGCTCCCATCAAGATTTGCAGCTTGGAAAGCCTATGCAGGGGTCCTCAAACTTTTAAAACGGGCCAGTTCACTGTCCCTCAGACCCGATGGAGGGCCGGACTATAGTTTAAAAAAAAACTATGAACAAATTCCTATGCACACTACACTTATCTTATTTTTAATTAAAAAACCATATGGGGCAAAAACACCCGGTGGGCCGCATAAATGTCCTCGGTGGGCCGCATGTGGCCTGCGGGTCGTAGTTTGAGGACCCCTGCAGAGGGTCACTATGAACAGGAATTGCCTTGAGGGCGGTGGGTTAGCAGTTCCTGTTTTTGTTGTTGCTGTTATGAGTATCAATACATGAATTTGGTAACATTTTAAAGGAGAGTGGTTTTGTTCTTCTTGTACCCAGTGCTTATATATGGTTGAAAAACTAATATATTCATGTGTAGAACTATTGCTTTTTTGGATAGCATTTAGTATTTAAAAATATGAAAATACAATCAGTGGGAGGCTTTAGGGCCTCTTCTAGCAGTTGTTCTGCACATACAGGAAGACCATTTTGCTTCTAAAAACAAAGGGCTCGATGCAGGGTACTTACAAAGGGGCTTTAAAGAGAAGAGGAAACTGTTAAAAAATAACTTTTGGCTAGTCTCAACGCAGTTGATTGAAATCAGGCCTCTCTGAGATCAACTGCATCAGGGTGATTCTGAAGCCTCCATTTATTTGAAATTGCTTGCAGTTAAATTCTTTGTACAAGTCAAACTTTAAACAGCTTCACAGTTATATTTCTTCTGGAAAAGATAGTGGTGGATTTCCCTTCACGCTGAATGCTTATAGACAGAAGCAGCTGTGGAATGCCTTAAAACTTTCCCTCCTCTGCCCCTAAACTGTATGCTTACTGAGATCCACTGTGTGTGTTAAACATTTATTTATTCCAGTTGTATCTGTTAGTGCAATTAAGTGATTTAATTAGATGTGATTTAAGAATAACAACTGTGTTGAAGAAAAAAGAGATGTGTCTTCTATGAAGGCATGACACTTGTGAAAGATGTTACTAAAAATTATACAGCTGTATTATTACATGTAGGCAGGACAACAGAGGAAGATGGGGAATGTAAAAATCTTGGTGGAATCTCTATTCAAATGTTTTCTCAAGCTCCCTTAATCTCTAACTCCACTCAGCAGAACCCCAAACTGGAAACAACTGAAGGTCTATTAGGAGATTGGTTTTGGGGACTCCCACCAGCTGACCCATACCAAAAGAGAAGCCCTTGACTCTAAATAAAATATTTGTAAATTGGGGGCGTAATTTAAGTCTAAGAAAACTGTTTAAGATGTGTGTCTATCATTTATAGTTGTTCCAATCGTGTATTCTATTAAAATGTTTCCAGGGGGTGGTGAGGGATGGACAGTCTTGACTGAATGTCTTGAAGGCAGGTATCGGAGGCTGCTTGTCTTGGTAGTATCTGTGCCTGGGGAAAACATTTAGATCATAAGAGGACCTTCCCTAAGTGCTTCTTGACCCAAATTAGTTTTGTGAGGGTTCAACGATCAAGTCTCGTTAAATATTAAGGCTTCTTGGCCACTAGGGGGCAATGCAGCAGCATTCCCTTAGGAATGACCATCAAACAGTGGTTCCTTCCATTTTTATTTTTTATTTTTCCTTCCATTTTTTCTACAACCAAGCTAAAGCCAAGGAAACTTGATGGCTCTGTGTGTTCTGTGTTGGGCTGAGGGCTGCAAAGTCAGTAGTCAGTAGTTCCAAGCCACCAGCCCCTCTAGGGGGGGAAGATGAGGCTCTCTACTCCTGTAATGAGCCTCGGAAACCCACAAAGGCAGTTCCACCTTGTCCAATGAGGTCGCCATGAGTTGGAATCAACTTGGTAGCAGTGAGTTTGATTCTGATTTTGGAAATGAACCATTGCAGTGAACTGGATCCCACACACATCAAGTGTGTTGGCCAGAGCAGAACTGCCCCACAGGGTCCCCAAGGCTCTAAATAAATCATTACGGAATCAGGTTGCCACATCTCTCTCACTTGGAGCGATGGTGGTTTCCCAGTGTTGTCCTTGTTTACTGGCCCAGTGTGGAAATCACTGGGCCACTAAGGATCAGAACGAGTTGCTGTTTAAACTCCATATGAATTCACAATGTTCTGTTGTATTTGAAGAACCGAAGCTCAAACAACAGAATTTGCCCTCTAGCAGCTCGCATATGAAGGGAGGGATGGCAGCTCATATATTCAATATTAGTTACGGAAGTCAATAGCCAGATCTACCCAGACTGTACAAACGTGCAAGCTTCTGGCTTTTGATTTCGTTTTCTTTCTGACCTTCCCGTGGAAAAGGGCAGTCAAGGAATAGTCAGACCTTCAGGTCTCTGTCTACAGATCTGTCTTCCACAAATACAAGTTGGGAGGGAAGATAGTCACCTTCCTTCCAGAAGTGCAATTAGGTCTGGGAAAAATGCCCCTTCGGAACTTCCTTATGAGGTGCTCCAGTGGCAGTGGGCTGCTAACTGTGAGGTCAGCAGTTCAAAACCTCCAGCTGCTCTGTGGAGAGTTAAGTGCTTTGGAAACCCACAGGGGCAGCTCTACTCTGTACTAGAGGGTTGCTGTGAGTCAAAATCACCTCAGGTGCAGGAGTTTGCTTGTTTTGGAACTTCCTTAGCCAAGGAAGAAAGATGAGGCCTTCGACTATAAGGCTTTATAATCTTGGTAATGCACAGGGCCAGTGCTACTCTAGGCCTGCTAGGAGTCCGAATCAACTTGATAGCAGTAAGTGGACTTCCTTAGAATAACCAGCCCTGTCAGAGACGAGCTGCCAGGTTTTGTGGGAGAAGCATGGCCCTGCCCTATTGATCAGTTCATGGCATTGTGGAAGGAGTAAAAGCCTAAAGGAGTGTGAGCCCCTGTCATTGCTTTTCTGGGTATTTTGCCACAAGCATGACTTCTCTCCTTGTCTCCGTTACCCTCTGCTGTCCCTTTCATTTGAGTTCAAGACAGCTGTCTCCCTCTGTCCTAGGCTACACCTTGGACACCTAGGGTTTTAAGTCTTTCAGTCTGTGTCTCTTCCTTCTCCCCACTCCCTGCTCAGCAAGGCCCCTCCAGGCGCTGAACCATGGGGCAGTTCTGCTCCGCCGTAGAGGGTTGTTAGGAGTCAGAGTTGACTCAGAGGCAGTGAGGTTTTTTTTTTGATGACTCAGCAAGCCTTGTCTCTGAGCCACCATTGGCCTTTTCCTTGAACTAGTCTTATTACTTGACCTTGTAGTGCCTCAGCCGATTCTTCTTAACAATTGGATATAATATTTCCAGCATCAAAACCCTGAGCTGGATGGATGGCTCATGGGACACAAGCCAGTGATTCTATTATCATGCTATGTGATAACGCTGGTGCAGCAAGCTTGGACTGTGCAGGCTGCCTGGATGGCACAGTGGGTTTCCCGTTGGACTGTTAACCTCAAGGTCAGTAGTTCGAAACCGACACCCGCTCCGTGAAAGGAGGCGGCTAAATTCCATAAACCGACAGGGTTGTCCTATAGCCTCCCTACAAGTCAGAATCGATTCGATGACAGTGAGTTTGAGTTGGGGGATATAACTTTGGGGACATCTGATAGCCTCAGGCCGTCAATTGCCTGCCTTGTAAAGTCGGACCCGCAGGGGCGTGGGGCACCCTCTGAGGAGCATGCCAACAAGCTTCCTTGCCCTTCA